AATAAAAGATGAGAAAAAGGAATTTCAGTTAATGACATCTATATAGGGAGATTCCCTCTACGGGGAAGTGGAGCAATATGGAAGGACATTCAGAAGGAAGACAGCCCCTCAGCCCACTAAAATTCACTCTGCATCTTGATGTGATGACCTTTTTAAACCTTTTCTTAGTTTCTCAGAGCCCTACTTGCTGACTTCCTTTTCTTCCCATTCTCATGCATTCCTTTTCTCCCTGTTGCTCCTTTGGGTTAACTTTGATTTGGGGAGGGTTTTTTGTGTTATTACTAGAGCAAAGAATTAGGCAAAGAAAGAAAGATATTAGATTTTTTACTAAGTGTCCAATAAAATTAGTGACTTAGGAAGCTCTAGCACTGATTTGCCAAATTTCTGCACGCCCCAACTTCATTCTAGTGACATAGTGTAACCGAAAGGAAGGACCACTGCCAAAGTTGTCTTTGTTCAAATGGGGTGGTCCTAGTCAGGACCTTGGATGTTGCAGCTAACTTTTTACCGTATAAAATATCACAAGAGGTAGCCGCAGAGTTTTGCATTTGGTGAAGAGAAACACCGACAGATGAAATGGTAGCTCTCATCTAACACATCTCTTTTCGATTAACATGAGTTAATGAGCAGAATTGAGGGGACTGTAAGGAGACACCCACCTTGGGGTGGGTGACCAGCAACTAGAGTTGGGTTCAATCATGGTAACCTGTTTGTCTGGTATAACTAGAGCAAGAAAAGGATCTGTATCCTCACCTCTCTTGCTATGTGTTTGATCTAAGTGCCCTGCAAGGTGTCAGGCACCTTCTTTGCTGGGGATCTGACAGCTGATATGTTTTGTGTACTGCACAATAGGTAATGGAAGTCGTTAGAGGTCTGCTAATGTCTCCTTTAGGTTGGGGCTTTCCTAGGGCCTGGTCCCATAGGAATGTGATTATTCTGTGAAGTGAAAGAGAGTTCTCTCTATACTGTGAGCTCTCATTGAATTCCTACCTCATCCTGCAGGCAGGGCTGCCCAGAGCAGTTCTGAGATGCAGACCTCTTAATAGCATGGTGGCAGACCTAATCAAGCCCATAGCACGGTCTGCGGCAACCTTCCTAAACCAAACTTTGCCCCTCTGCACTCGTTCTTTACAAGTACTCAGCTCCCACCATTTCAAAGCAATCTTTTCAGAAAATCAATAGTTCTTCATCTCCTTCAGAATGAGAGCAAGTAGGACACTTGGACGTTTGCTTTGTAATCTCTTCAAAAATTGCTTTCTTGTCTTCCCAACAGAATTAGGAAATATTGCAGTACCAAAAAAAAAAGAAAAAAAATCTCAGGCTTTTTCAGCACAACGTCTCAGTTGTAGGACCAATCTTTGCATTCCTTTTCATTTAGGGATTACCCTAAGCTCACTGGTCTGTTTATACCTTAGGCACACACATACATCCTTGTTCCTCACACAGAGGAATTATTTGTTCTCACAACTCCACTTTCAGGAGCCTGCTGTAGAAACCTTTACCATTTTAAAATTTCCGTTTTCTCTCCCTCTTCCCTCTCAGTAGCCCTTTAGCTATGAAAATGAACTGCTCTGCTCCCGCAGTGCTGAGCTGCTGAATCCAATCGAGGAAGGCTGGCCACGCTTCACATCCCCGTCAGACACAGCGTTGACCTTTTTTTCCTAATTGACAATGCAGGGCTTTGTGCTAATAGGATGACATCATTACGCAGAGCTGAAATGCTTTCCCTGCTGTCTCTTTTGTCTCTCAGTATTTTTCTCCCACACTTTTGGAGGAAGTATTTCACTAGGAGGGAGTGTAAGGAAGACGGTTACACAGTGCCTAAAAAGCATATGCAGAAAACATCCTCAATTTCCCTCTCTCCAATTTTTCCTTACTCGCACTAGTTGCCAGCCACATATACTGAGCCCTCACTATGTACCGAATCTCCCTTTTCCTTCTTCCAGGTTATGATCACCAATGCTTTTCTATATTTGCTTTGCCTCACTGTCCTCAGATATGCTGCTAGGGAGATAATGGTTCCTTCCTGATTTTGAATTATAATTGTAGTTGTTAGCCTACTGTCCTTTTACAGCTCTAATTTTATTCAAACAACTTGTTAATAAGATCCTTGTGCATCTCTATAGCAATAAATAGTTAACTGAGGTGCTTAATTTTGTGTTAAATTGTTGGCAGTCAACTTTTGCTGTGATACTCAACAACGTAAAGTTTTAAAATAATAATTCAAAGAATACATGGAGGGGAAGAAGCCCCAAAGAAGTGGAAAATATTAAGAGCTTCGTTTTAGCTGTCTTGTGAGATTGGCTTACCCATTTCGGTGAGCACTATAGCCTTTGAAGATGCTACCTTAAAGCTTAAAAAAATTGCCTTAGTGCTGGTTCTAGATTGGCAGTCACATGCCAAAGCGTGCAGTCTCGGCTAAGCCAACAAACCAAATAAATACGTATGATGGGCTTTCGGTGGAGAAGACAGAAAGAGCGGAAATTTCCCAGTTCTGCCTATCCCCCTCTCTTTCTCCCCTCTCCCATGGCTGACATATTGGACACTCCTAGCTCACGGTATATATTTCCAGCCTGCTTCAGTGCCTAATGAAATGGATTAGCTCAGATCCCAGGTACCTCTGTGAATCTGTTTACCCTGAGCTGTTTTAGTTTGCACAGAAATGCCCTAGGAGCTGCGGCAGCAGAAGAGAAGGGTAGTATTGACCAGCTGGGAGAAGCAGCCTCTTAAACCACTCAAGCTAGCTCCATAGGACCGTGGGCGTCTATATCCTTACTTCAAGAAAGGCAAGCAGGAACGGTAAACCAGACAAAACAGAGAGCGAAGAAGGGAAAAGATTCAGGAGGGAGAGAAAGCAGATCCCGTTACTATTCAAGACGATCCAAAATTGGTGGGAATAGGGATTTATCTATTTTCCTTTTTTGCCCAGTCAATGCCCAACTATTTCACAGAAGACTTCTGGATTCCTGGACGCGTGACAGTGATCTTCATGCCATCCTTTCTTTCCTGCATTATAGCACTATTCAAGAAAGGAATGGCAACCACATTATTAACCTATCTTGTGAAAACTTCTCTTGATTATTTTAATTGTAATTCCTATTTCTTTTTGCACGTTATCCTTAAAGACACATTAAGTATTTTAACCAGGATTTGTTTCTTACATTCTGTTTCTGTCATATTTACCTTCAACTTTAGTTAACTTCCATAAGCCGTTGTGAGCAATAGAAAGAATTGGAGTTGCGTTACTTTGAACAATGGTAAGCTTAAGCTTACTGTCTTTGCAGAAGAGTGCCTAGTGAACTATCTGATAGCTGTAAACAGTAAGCATTAATACAGTTTAATATTTCTCTTATGTCTCTAGCCTAATGAGATTAGTGCTTTTTGTACTCAGCACCACATAAACAATTAACATGTGAGTTTCAGCCTCAAAGAGCAATTAGGATAATGTGGTTAAATCCCTGCAAACTACTACGAAAAAAACTTGCCAAATTTCAGTCCAGAACCCAATTTATTATTATTATTATTTTTATAAACAGGTTAAATACAGTGGGTGAAAATAGTGTTTAGAGTGGAAGTGCTGAGAAAACCTTTACTGCAGCAATGTGGACAATGCAGCTGCAATAATGGCAAGTGTGCCCTTATTCACAGCAAGAAAAATGTAAGGAGTTCTGATTTTGCACTGAATGAGCCATTACTTATGTCTATCACAAAGAAATAAGAGTAGTGAACAAAAAAAAGATACATTAAGGTGGGGGGTTTTTTTCCTCCCCAAAGAAAACTAAAAATAAAGAAGATCAGATGTGACTGAGGCTTTCAAACAATAAAAATAGCAAGATAAAAGAACTAGGCTGCTTCATTGCCTAAAGAAATGGCTAGAACCTTAAAAAGTCTGAAACCTGATTGTGAGAGACTCACTTTATGGGCTGCTAAGAAGGTGCTGACCTTCGTCATCAATAGATTGTCTGAGCCTTTGTGGTATTCAGCAGTAAAGGAAGTGCTTAAAAAGTCATCCCGCTGAAAGATGGACTGGAAAAATCTCCAGTTCAGATCTCAGCATAGCTGTTGTCGGTGCACATGCTCATTCAGAAAATCTGTCTGTAAATCTAATACAGATAAATCTTTCTTCATTTTTAAGTGATAAAACTGGAGCATCCTCACCTTAGAGATGGATCAGGATATCTGGAATTCAATATAAGTGAAATTATTGTAGAGGAGGGCAGCTAATGACCTATCTGTTGTGGGGCTTAGGATGTGTTTTGTTATAGTACTATATTTCTCTGTCTGTACTAGACGACATTGAAGGAGTGGGATAACACTTGTACAGGTACCAGTGGTATAATTTTCTTATACTTGCTCCATAGTTTTGGATGCAGTTTTGCCTGTTCCAACATTTGCACTGAAATGAACTGTGGCAGATGACTGCCCTGTGGTTTCAAACGGCCTTCTGGGAGAAAAAGACTATTATAGATGAAAGAGTTCAGTTCCTATAACTTTCTGGAAAAGTTGCATCACTGTCTAAGTAGTATACCAATACGGCAGCTGTCATTATATGTATCTTCTAGCAGGGCGAATTAGCCATGGTGGGGTATCATGCTAAGACAACTACATGGCTGCTGGTACACAAGTGAGCTCACTGGAAGACAGATGGGGTATCTTTGCACAAAACGCACATGTGTTGCAGATACAGTCATGCTCTGGCTGAAAAATGTTGTGCTGTTATCCTCTAGAAACGGTGCAGCGTCGAACATTCACAGCAGAGAGCACAAAATACAGATGGACCACTAATGACTAGAGCTTCTGGGACAGCAGATGAGGTACAGCCAGACCATCCTGAGCGAGGCAGCTTGTACCTTATGCTGCAGAGGAAGTGAAAACAAAACAAAACAGTGACAACAGAAAGCTCTGCCAGTTCTAATCAGGGTGGGGGGAGGGATAATTATTGCTGTCTCCAGATCTGACGCCTGATTTTTCCCTGAGCTTTAGCAAGGCGTTTATGGGGCATGTTCCGTGTCAGAGCATGGGTCCACTTGGACTGCGGTCGAATGGTCAGTGTAAAGAACCTGCTTCAGAGTCAGAAATGTAACTGTCGAGTCCCCTTTCTGCTTCCCAGCTGCCATATCTTCCCCCTAGCCTCCCAAATCATGCGAGGGTATCATCCAGCAGGCCAGCACTGGGGAATCTCTCCTTCAATTGCCTTCTTCCTCCATAGCCTGTGCTGTAAAAGGCAACTGTGATCCTCAGAAACAGCGACTCGTGCTGTCTGCTGAAAGAGTTCACCGAAATTGGGAAACAGACCTTTTTCTGAAGCGCAGCCCCACAGAATTCACATCCCAAAGAGCTGGTAACAGCAATCTAATGGTCCAGTTTCAAGGCAGCTTAATCCCCTCTGGGAACTACTAGAAGAAATTCCTCTCTCCTGTCACTCCACTTAAATCAGTGCTGAATGTAGCCCAGTGGTTCTACCTTGCTATATGTAGATTCAGGAAGATAGCACTGCGGTCTTTGGTGTTTAAAAAGGTTTTACTTCACAACTGTAAGGGCAAAAGCCTTTTTGGTTGAAATCAAAGTTTAAATTCTGAAGAAAAAAGGGCTCATCAAAGAACTGGCAAAGAATTTAACAACTAGGTGCCAGCTAAAGGGCCAGTGTGATTTATCAGCAGGTTCTTCTCTAATCTGATGTGAGATAATAGGAGAAGGTGTTGAAAGCAGAATCAAACTAGATACAGAACAAAAAGCATAAGTAATAGGGTTCATAAGATTATACACATAAAGAAGTTTACGTTACCTAGTAGGCAGGCCACTCTCCCCAAGAAGGTTTTCTTAGATATATTGGGAAATCAACAGACAAAACCAGAAGATATTGCAAGATAAATGATCTTACGTTCCTTTTGCCTTTTTTTTTTTCACATAAGCCTCTCCATTTGGAGAGATGTAGTTTCCTTACCAACAGAGCCAACAAAATACTTAGCTGTAGCAGCTGGTAGTGCCATGGACAGACATCTCTTAGCAAAGATTAACCCTCAAATATGCAGAAAGCTGAGCTTGCTTATGACTGATCAGGAAGATCATTCCTGAGAGCTCACAAATTTAGAGTAGTTTCCTTCTGACGATAGCCCTAAATTGTCTATCTATACTCCCTCGCACAGTGATTCATTAGAAGCATTTCACAGTAAACGCTTCCAAAATAAAAACCAGACATTTTAACCAAAGTCTTGGGAAAAATACTTAACTGACAAAGATAATGATTTTCTAAAAGCTTTTCCATGGAAGTGGTTTTTTTTTTATTGAGGCAGTGATTAAACTGAGCCTGCCTGAGTTATAACGTGCTTCCATTGCACAACCCAAAGTCATGTTAATCAGCCTGAATACCTAAAAATACAATAGGAACAGTATAAATCCACTTGATATAGCAAAGTTCATTTCAGGTGCTGGTCCACCAGAGAAATATCCATAAGTGATTAAAGAATTACCGGTGTGTATTTCACAGTTTGTGCTCTGCTTTTTTTTATTCCATGGTAAATCAATTTAAAATTCTTAAGACAGTTTCACGGCAAACAGTTAGGTCCAGCCAATTTCCCATTCACACTGATATCAGCCCCCATCAGATATAGGGCTTTGTCTTTGTTAGCTTTCTGGTGAGGAGAAGAGTCCACTAATTCTCCTTGAGGGCTCCTCAGTACTATACGGCTGCTCAGAGGAAAATTCCTGAAAACTTGTCTCTCATGTAGACACTTAAATCTCATTTTCTAGAGTTCTATAGGACCTTCGGTGAACAGCCCACCCAAGAGGCTGTGAAAGTCCTGCGTTCCCCCTCCAGAACATGGTATAGCCATATACTGCGGGGCCACGGGGAGGTCCATCGCAGGTCCCATACGTGACAGTTATGTTGGCACGACATGGCACCAAGACCGTCAGGCTCATCCCCTCAGCTGGTGCTGAGACTGGCTGGAGTCTCTCTGCTCCGCTGCACAGCAAAGATAAATCATAATTTCCTAAATTAGCTAGTGCTGAAGCCAGCACTGAAAAACGCGGCTTCCAGTCTTTAGGCTATGCTATGGTTTGTTTTAAAAAGGGATTGAATGTCTTACAAACAGGTAAAATTGCTGCCAGATGCAAGTACATTAGCCTTTTCCAGCTGCTTTACTGCTGCCATTCAAAATAGCTTGCTATAAATATGATTCCTTTGAGCTCTATTCTGACAAGTGCGGAGCACTATCTGGGAAGGGCCAGTGGTTTTCCATCCCCATTGAACTCAGTAGGAGTTGTGATTGCTCAGCATATTGCTGAAAAAAGTCTGCTGAAATTACCTTAAATCACACAATTATCCCCTCACCTCTCGCTCCTTCTCTTGCAGTCGTGGAAGGAGGAATAAGTTTCTCCACAGGCAGTTCTGCTACAGTAAAGTTTTCAGCCTGGAGGTAGCGAACAAATGTCAAAAATCAACGAGTTCCCTGCTTCAGGGCTGGTGATGGTCCTGGCTGCAATTCAGCGTAGCCAGGGGAGGAGGGGGGAAACATGACAAAGATTTGAAACCCTATTTACAGTAGAATCCAGTATCAACTTCTCCTATGGCCTAAAATGCCTTCGCCTCTTCCTTTTACCCCTTTCTATAAATTTCTGCCTATTGCCTAATGCCCATTGCCCTAAACAATAAAGGTTCGCTGTACCACAGCATCCAGGACATATTCCGGCAGCTTTTACCAGTGCAGTAGTGCATACTGTAGGGCCCTTAATAAAAATCAACACGTTGCTTATTGTTTAAAATCTGTTTCTGGCTGAAGAGAAATGCATTTATTATGTATCTTTCCTGTGTACAATCTGTACCTGTAGTTAAGTCCATTAAACTGGTGCTAAACATATGGAGGTCTGTTGAACAATAACACAAGGTCAAAAAAGGCCGAGTGCTTATGCTTAACAAACCATTCTGAAATACGATCATCGTTAAAGCTATTCACAATTAAACTTTTCATAATTGATGGAAAAACTGAGAAAAGAATTACCTGTGCCTTCCACCTTTTCACTCTGAAGTCAGCAGAGGCAGATGAAAATCAACATTTCCTTTGAATCTGAGCACGATTATGAGTTTACAATGCAGATCAAGTCACTTTTCCTATTGTACGGGAACTGCTGTTGAGAAGAGGCTTATGAACTTGATTCTACACCTTGTTCTACCAGTTTGAATCCCCTGCTGGTTCCCTGAACTGAGAGTTAGGCTGTTAACCACTGGCAGAGGGTTGCTGCTTAGCTGCAACACTCCAGTGTCCTTTACAGACAGTTCAATAAGAAATAGCTTTGAAACCCAAATCCAGATCTGAATTTGGCTCAAATGCAGTGGAAGCTGGGACCCCACTTGGAGCTCATGCCCCTCTGGAATATATCCAGTCTGCCTGATTTTTGAACACCCCTCTCTGACTTAGGTCACCGTGCTTACCAGCTCTCAAAAATCAGGCCACGGTGATTTTTCGCGCTCCGTAACAACATACAATGTGAGTCAATCAGTCACAGGGTTTTGGTTGTTTTCTTTTGATTAAAAGCCAGATTTTTCCCTTCTTGTTGCAGATATAACAAACTGGTACACTGGCATTACTTTACATAAACAAACATCCGTTATCAATACTATCAAAAATATTTAAGGGTCCTTAAACTTTTACACAAGAAAGAGAAAATAATTACAGCGAGTCTGATATTCTAGGTACTAACTACTGAAGAGTTTTCTCTCATAGTCATGCCTACAATATGCATAGCGGAGAAAGCATTTGCATGCTTTTTTTGGCTTTGCAACATTTGAGTATTCTTAACTTTTCTACATTTTCTCCTAGTACTCTTTCTTCGCTCAAGTTACGGCATCAGAAAGCAATACTGACTTCCAAAAAAATCTCATAAGCGTGGATGGCAAGAATGAAACCTCTCAGCAAATGCGCAGAAGTAAGGAGTCAAGTGTAGCAGCAAACAAGTTGAAAGATATTCCAGAAGCACTGCAAGAGTTCAAAAACCACCTTGGGAATGGAGCAGCAGAAAATATAATGGAGAGAACACAAATAGCAGAGAAAAAGGAGGAAAAACAAAGTAATAATGTAGACAGAGCAAGCCGTAAAAGGAAATCAGAAAACAACGATAAATTAGCTGTGGAAGAAGAAGAAGAAACAATGTTAGAGACTGGCAATCAGTTAATCCCGACACCTCTGTCTCATATTCCTCTGAAAACCCTAATGGACGTAGAAATGGAGTTGGTCTACACCGACGAGGAGGAGATTTCCTTCGAGTTTGCCAAGCCTGTGGCACCTACAAGCACACAATCAGCGTGTCGTGATGCTGAAAAAGCAGATGCTCTGAGCACACCTAATAGCAGTGCTTTGCCCTACATTGACGAACAGCTTCAGATGACCCTCCGGGAAGCCAGCAATTCCTACAGGGAGAAGAACTACGAGGCAGCAGTGGAGCAGTTCTCAACAGCACTGGAGGTATGGGGTTAAAAAAGTACGATCACCATAGCAAAGTAAATTAAAGGCTGTCATTGTACTGACTGGGTGTAATAACATCAAAGTGAACAAGGAGCACAAACCTGGGATGTGTATGGTTTAATAAAAATCCTGAGATGCAATTTCATGTGAAATCTGAAAATTAAGAGCTATAAATAAATCATAGATGGAGTGGGTCACTGGACTGAACCAAAAAAATCTCAGGTGATTTTGTATTTTTCTCTAAGCCTTCAACTGTATTTATGTATGGAGGAAATTTAAGCCCCACAGAGTGAAAAAAATTGCTCCTCTTTTTAATCCCAGCTCAATCAGGGGCAATGATATCTCAGTAATCAGGGGAGTTCCCACTCTACCCCAGCTGTCCAGGCACTACTGGGTGAAATGTTTAATCCTTTGGTTAAACAAAAGGTCTGGTTTAGTCTCTCTTTTCCCTACAGCATTTCCATCATGCACTGTTCCCCTTTTTTCTTGAAAGCCAGAAGATGGCCGCTGGATCTCTGTAGAAATCCTTTTCTTTCTGCATGAGAAAGGACAGGTCTAGTAGCGAGCAACCCCCCTCTGGACACAGGTGGCTTTTTCTTCAGCAACTAAGAGTCCAAAAGCTGGGGTTTTTGTGGAAACAAAGACTTCTTGCCTGCCTGAGATACTAAAGCAATAATACGACCTTGGCTATGATCTTTGAAACTAATCTGTGATTTTCATGACTTTCTGCCTTTAAGCGCTCAAACTTGAGCTGTCTTAAATGGATCTGTTCTTTGATACGTAGTTATTTCTATGTTTTCAAAAGCAGAGCCCTTCCCAAGTTCCAGGCTGAGCCCCCCCCAAAGGAAGTATCTAAAGACCTTTGACGTTTATTAAAATCTTAGCCAGCCTTGCGTTTTGTCACTAAAATATAAGAAGAAAAGAGTAAAAGGGAGAGTTCCGAACACTCTGGCAAGGTTGCAATTAATGTCACAGGGGGAGGGAAGAGAAAGGAGGTGTAGGAAAGCCCAGCAGGTAGGTCACGGTTACATCCACCAGCGTCCTGTTTCCTGGAAGCCAGAGCTAGCAGCATTTACAGTAAAACTGATTGTTTGGAGTTGTATCATTATTCCCAGATTTCTCTAGTGCTGCTAATCTCAGTTAATTATATTGGAAATCCCTTGTATTATGACCATGTAATTCATAATGTGCCAGTAGAAGTCATGGTTCATAATAATCACATAATGGGCAAGGACTTAGACGTAATCAGATTTTAGTTACCCTGTCGTGTTTCCATAATGCTGCTATAAAACCAACATAATCACAAAAAAGCACCAGTTATTTAAAAATTTTTATCAGATTGATGTACAGTATCTTTCTCTCTCTTTTTTAAACAATGTAAGATAACAAAAATTGGATTACAATTGCTGGGAACAGACTATGATAAACTGTTTGCTTGTGTGCAGAATGAAATTTAATAATGGCATCAGCCTCTCAATTTTTAGTAATGTTAAACCTGTTAAATAGTAGCACTCTACAGCCAAAGGCTGCTTTCAAAGAGGTAGCATTACAGCATTTTGAAAACAGTATCTCCAAGAGCATAGCTGTCTTGTAAACCTTGAAAGACACCCTATATCCTCACAATTAACCCAGCTGCTAACATTTACTGTGCAGATGAGGGCTTGACTTTTTCCATGATACATGATGCAAAAACCCGCTCTTAGTAGCTGTAAGGATTTTAAAGGCTAGCGTCTGCATTGCAAATAAAATTAAAAAATAAAAATAAAAAACAAGAAAAGAGACACTTTATTCTTTACAGGAATATAGTTGGTGATTAGAATAGAGGACTTGCAAGCTGGACTCTCTGGACTCTAATGTTTTGTCTCCACTCTGACCCCAATCACTTCAGCTATACACTTGACATCCTGAAAAAGGGTCCAACCGTACTTGTTTCAGCACTGTACTGCCCAACTTCATTCAAAAGCATTTGTAAAACATTAGAGGTTTGCAGGTGACAAGCAAGTAGCCTACTCCTGTTTTTTTCTACAATACTGAAGACGTTTTATTTTAAAACAATAAATATTATAGCAGTGAGTGAGTGAAATTAGAGTGCCATCCTTTTTAGGCTTTTTTTCCCCCCATACATTCAGAAATGAGCTGTGATGGGGACAAAAACACTTGTCACTTGAGAGGAAAGGAGTACTTTTCTGCTCCTAAGATGAAATGGAAAGGCTAGCTAATAGACATCCTGGTGAAAGAATAAATAGAGATTAAAGAATTCCTTCCTGGGATTGAGGACAGAGTGACTGGAAAATCACAGAATTGTAGGGCTGGGGCTTCTCAGCAGCCTCTTAATCCAGCTCTCCTCAGAAGCAAAAACCAGAATACCCCTGAAAGACACTTTTGTACTGTTTCTAAAAATCTCCAGCAAGAGGGACTTCTCATCTATATCAGCAAGCTGATAGAAAGTTTTTCCACATCTTCCATGCTGCAAAATAGCCCATAACTTTTTTTTTTTGTATCCTTATTTGACATGAAGAGCAATTAACCACCCTACTCTCTCTGTACTTGCAACCTCTTAGCATCTCTCTTTTCAGTCTTCTCTAAATGAAATAAATTCAGCCCTCTTAGTATTTCCTCCCAGGTCTCATTTTCTAAACCTCTGTGTTGTTTTTGTTGCTTTTCTTTGCATTATCTCCAATTTGTCTATTTGTTCAGATATAGACAAATTGGAGATGTTGCAGAGAAAACCAGAAAACTTAAGCTGCTGAGACTGGAACTGTGGTTGTTTTGCCCATCGCTTTTTGAAGAAATGAACAAAAATTTCCTCTGCATTTCATGTGGGTGAAGAGACCCATGATATGTAATAAGCTCAAAGGTCACAGAAATTCAAAGTCAGAGTTTCTGGTGCTAAATGTTTACAGACATTTTTCAGGTTTAAGGAAATTAATGCTTTAGTCTGACATTACAATGTTTCGAGTTAGACACCCTGATGCAGAAAAGCGTGTGCATAGCGTTAAATTTGAATAGTATCACTAAAGTTACCTTACATATTGCAAATATGATCCATTTCTTGGCTCTTCTTTAGGCAGAAATGTCTTTTCTAGATCCATCTATATTATTCACGTCATATTATCATTCTTTAGATCATGTTGGTTTTCAGATATGCAAATAACAGGCAGTTCTGAAAGTCTAGCACTGAAATTATTGGATTTGGGGGGACAAAAGGAAAATTATTAGTCAGAAAGGAAAACTGAAATGCTTGTTTAATTTAGAGACTTTTATATGTTGGACAGCATGCTGCTGATTACCGCAGACATCGGGAAGGCAGTATTATCAGGAGAAGAATTGGTGGCTTCTCGCTATTTCTGCACTATTTAGCTACCATTAAATTAATCAGGAGGGACTTAGCGTTAGTCAACTGCATTACAGTTGGCCTGGGAGAGGAAAAAATAATGCTCCCTTGGAGAACTCTCACCATTAGAGCTTAAGAATTAAGTACTTTCTGTTGCTAGTGAGCAAAATAGCTGAAGAAATTGGGGCAATAGTCTTCACTCTTCTACCTCCTAGCTCAGTAATACAGTATATTATATATACTACATTGAGAAACACTGTAAATTTCCCTAAATTTTTGGCATCCATCTGTTGGAATGTAGGGAAATAGGACTTGAACATCTGGGCTGGGATATGAAGGGTATGCGAAATCACTCTTTAGCTTAAAACCTCAGTGGAAACCATATTCGTATATCTATAAAATCTCTAGCCAATTATTAACAGCTTAGCTACAAAATAACATTAAACCTTTATGAGGATCGAAAGATCTTGTCTCAAACTAATCTCCTAATATCAGAGAGCATAAAAGACTTCAGAAACATCAGCCTATTTAAAACCTGCACACATTTAAATTTCAGACCCTGTTGTTCTGAAAATAATCCTCCCCTGCGATTAAAAAATAAATGAGAAAGGTTCACAACTGCTGTGCACAGAAAGAAGTCCACAGTATCTCAGCACACAGCTTTCGGCGTAGAATATCTCAGAGACATGAAATGCATCCCGTGTGTGAGGTGAAGGCCTCAAACAGCATGTGATTAATTCACCAGAGTGCTGTTGTGGTGCCTTCCACGAGCTGGAATATCTCCATTTTCCACAGATGGCTATTATGGGCACCGTTCCTATGGCAGGGAGATAAACATTAGTGCCATCTTTTTTGCGCACCTTGAGTTTTTAGATTAACCTTTCCTGTGGCTCATTGCCTTGTGATTCACTGCTTGCGGAGAAGGCTTTGTCAAGACCACACTCCCTCTTCCAGGCAACAATATCTGCAAAAAGCTAATATTTTGACAGCGGCTGTGGGACCGGTGCCTCGTGGACATAATTACGTACCAATATAGAGTTAGGCAGCATGGTTCGACCAAGCCTCCCATCAATTTCGCTATATGAAAAGCCAAAAATTAGTATTTCCTATATAAATACCTACATGAACAGAGGTTCATCTTCAGTGGTCTGTCCAGTGGTGGAGCGCTGTAGGATTAGGATTTTGGATGTGCTCTCTCTTGTCACCATGGGGTCAGCGCTAGCTGCTGCAGAGAGTCTGGGGCACAGCCACGTTTCTGCCCACCCTGCCTCCCCCAACCAACATTGTCTCCTTTTGCAGGTGGGTGAAGAGGTCCAGGAAGGCATCGATGTATAACAGTGTGTAATCCCTTGCTTTATGGAGCATGGAGACTGGAATTCCTGGTCATCCACCAGAATGAAAGGGCTAGAAAAATGGGACTTGATAGAGTTTTCCCTATGCCCTCTCACCAACAAGAGCTGTGCAAGGACTAGACACAGTTTAACACCATGAAAGTCCTCAAGGGAGAGCATGTGAAAGGCTAAATATTTATTTTTTGCACCAACTTTCGGGAGCTAAAAATCAGACTCATAATTAATCTATCCTTATCACCAGCACAGCTCCTCTAGAAATTTCCTGGGAGTACAGTAGGTCTTGGACAGAGAACATCAAAGATGACAGTCACTGA